AGTAGCGTCCTTGTTCCTAGTAGCGAACATTGCTCCTAGTAGTAAGGCCAGGAGGTCTAGAAACCCCTTTGTGACCCTGTGGGCCGTGTGAGTCCAAGCTGCCGCCAGGCGCTGAGGAAGTCCAGCGCCGAGGCGCCGCGCCGGTCGCACGGGCGCACGCGGGGTTGACACGGTTTCTACGGGCAGCTCATCTCACACAAGAAGACCGCATCAGAAATTAGAGTCTGCCGTTGTAAATGGTGTAAAGAGGAACTTGGTGGAATTGACGTGTAATTTGCATGCGCTTTTCAAGATCTTTCAAGCTTGATTGGACTTGTAACAACCCTTTGGAGAAAACGGTCTTTCCGTGTCGAAAAACACCGTGCCACTCAGGAGCGCATCATGGCACCTGCCCCAGGATGCTTTGTGTCTTCGCAGCGCCGAACGCAGTAAGCGATAAAGACACATGTCCGACGAATCCCAGTTCATCAGAGTGCATGCGAATCGTGTTAGCTGGATCGGATGTCTATTTGGGCCCTTTCTTTGGGGTGGGGAACGTGAGTTTACCTTTTATCCCTGGCTCCTGAAGAATATCCCACACCATGGCACCATGGCACCACCACGCGGCGCCTTGGAGACATACGTCCAAGGCTGCCACGCGAGAGCTTTCCGAAGAGGCCGGGGCGAGAGTCAGTCCTTCATACGTCTATAGACGTCCGGGTGTTACGGTTCGCGGATCGGTTCAACACCCGGACGTTTGGACGACGGTCGGAGGACGTGGAACTGCTGCGACTGTTTGAAGCGGAACTGCGAGCCGTGGAAGGGCGAGTCATGGGATTTGAGGGTCGGTAGGGCAAGTGGAAAAAAGGAATGAAACAATGATTCTAAGGAGCCTAATAATAGCAATGGCCTCCCCAACCTCATGGTGATGCCAACCTACTAGAAAACCAGAAAATGGTGGACTCACTATAACGATCACTGGCGATGTTGGTCACGCAACCCAGGTGTCGGAGGAGATTGGGTAGGTAACACTATACCAGAACTCCTAGACGTAGACCCACCAAAGACGAAGCAGAATAAATAACGTGAGTTTTGGTGCCCAACTGGCCCACCTGATCGTGAGAGAGTTTTGGTTGTGTGTCCCAAAAAGCCTGTAGCGGTCGATCAAAGATGATCACATATGATCACTCTTTTTGAGATGGAAAGGCCTGTATAGCATGCATATCAACCAACATCATCCACTGGGCTGGAATCAAAGACAACAAGTACCCGGTATACCTAGTATACCCAAAGTCTACCAGCACCCACACCAAGACAGGTGTAAATCTATAGCAAAAAAAAGGGGAACGTCGGAGTGTTCCCAAAACCGGACCCGAAAGGAAGGAGAACCGCGAGCCGCCGAACCCGACGAACGGTCGCGGTCGCTCGCGGTCGCTCGCTCGCTTTCGCAGGACATGGATCTCTCACTGACGGCCTCCGAGGCGCTGGTGGGAAAACATGGGGAGGAGGTCCTCAACAGGCATCAACGTCGAAAACTGGAATCTTTTGAAACATCTTGGACCCTTTTTGAAAACATGGGGAGTTGAAAAGACATGTGGGTTTTTTGGAGAGGGCATTTTGGGAGTCGAGACGGAGTGGTGAAAAACATCTCATCTCACAGCTTTCACCTTTCAGCTGCAGCTTCGCTGCAGGACAAGCAGCTTCGCTCACGTCCAGGTCAACAGAGCCGCGCGCCCTCTGCGCGCGGGTCGCACGTCCTGGACTTCGTCGTCTTCCAGAGCACCCTAACCTGGTTTTGCTGATCGGCTGATGCGTATCTTCCCCTTCTGGGGGAATCGTGTTGACTTTTCCCGGTTCGTGAAAGCATATCTGAGCTAAGAGGTGTCTATTCATAGCCCCGAAAAAGAGGCCAGGGGTATTTGGGGGGTGCTTCATGAACCACCCCTGAAGTGGGTCAGTCCACAGTGGTTCACCTCACGGATGGTGTTTTTTGAATCTGGAGACAACCCACCGAACCCCAATGGGGACCGAAATTTTCATGTTTTTTTGGTGTATGCTTAGGCCGTTAGGCCTTTATATGTTGCTCCCATGGGTCCTCTCCCGCGTGGCCTTGGTCCGAAAGAGGCCCATGTTTGGGAGGGAATTCTGGTTCGGGGGTGGCTCCAGGGTTGGGCCCCTTTGGGCGGTCCATCTGGTCCGTCGGCTGAAGCCGCAGGCGTCAGCCGCTCGGTGATCGTCCGCTCCATGCCGATGAGAAGCGGGAAGCACTCAGTGGGGTCCGGAGGTGGTTTGGCCCGGTTCAGCGGGCGAGCAAAGCGTTGGAGCCTTACATGTTCTCGGCTGGAGAAGGGTGGATCCAGGAGAAGGTGCCTTTTTGTTGGATCTTCCACATGGAGTAGTCTCGTAGAGGAAACAGGAAAGATATGGAAAGATGCAATTATGATGTAACTGAATTCCCTTCCAGCCTTGCTACTGGTACGCTGTAGAAATTGAATCAATTGATCATTGCTGGGTGAAACGAAACGACATGCGACGACGACGACCTGTGACGACCCGAAAAACCAGGTGGGGCTTTGGGCACGCGGGCCTCTCCCATGACCACGTCTGGGGGCCTCGAGCTGGTGTGGAGTGGGAGATTCGATCTACCCAGACGCGACCCGTTGGACCCTGTGGTTGAAGCTCTGTACCCGAATCCTTTGGGGTCCGGAGCTTCTCACCAATCCCTATGTGGACGCAGAAACATCGACTCTCAAAATGTCTCAAAGATGTATGCCCATGAGGGGTCAATGGATCGGCATATATGACAGACATGGAGTGTGATCCAGAATGGAGTTAAGAAGGTCGATCCATCTCATTTTCGGGCGGGGGCGGTTCTTGGTTTCGCGATGTGGCGAGGTGCGGAGGGGAGGGTCAGCGGTTTCGAACGGACGTCGCGGCGACCCGACACTTGTGCAGAACTCGGATGACCTGGTCGAAGATGCAGAACTCGGAATGAAGCGGAAAAGAGAACCTCAAGAACTGCAGAAAAGGAACCCCCTTGCGGTGATGCTGATTCAATCCCAATCAGTCTAGACATGAAGCATCCGTCTTCGTCGATTCGTCACTGTTGCAGGTACAAGTCTATGCCAGCAACGGCACCTCAAACCATGCAGGCATGGATCGATTTGCGCTGCACGTCATTGTTGGATTCCGCGCTGCGATGACTCACGCGCCACGTTGCTGGTTTCGGTCCGCGCCTGGGCGACCTCGAGACCGACCGGCAGCGGAAGGTCAGCTGCAACTGGTGAGCCATTGGCTCAAGGGCGATGGAGATGAGATGATGCGCGAGTCACATGCTCCACGTCGGTAGAAAAAATGCGGAAAGACACGCGGCAGGTGAAAGCAAGGAATTGTCTTAGAAGGCCAGAGAAATGCGTTCTCACAGAAGTTGTAAGGAGCCCAGCAGCCTAGCATTCTTGCTTTAAGTATCTGAAAGCCTTTGCAGAAGGATAGTGCGTGCTGTACTGCTGCCATTGCACAAGCGAAACCAGTGCAGGCGTGCGTTTGAGGCAATTTCGTTGAACTCGTAGGATTTTTCAGTCCAACTGATGTTGAGACCCGTGTTCCCTGAATGACTTCAAAACGCTACTTATAGTGGCCACATCCAGCGAAACACGCTGCTGTACTTCCTTTGATCAAACCATGTTGTTGAGAGATGTTGAGCAAGAAGGCTTCCAAACGATACCACCACAGAAACCATGTTTTCCAATGATTTTTTCTCGGAACTGGCGATCCCACGCGCTGACCAAGCACCCGACCTATAGGAGACCACGATGGCGTCAATCGCTGTTGTCTTTGAGTGTTGACCTCAGCCGCTGCGTTGCGGGAGGAGCACAGTCAGCACATGTCATGTGAGATCCTTGTTGCATGTCGCAGCGTCCGACCAGTCGGACCTCAGCGTGTCGGAACTCGGCCGCGGCGGAACGTCCGTGTTTGTCGAGCAGCGTCGGTGGTCGTCCGGATTCCACAGCAGTGATGACTGGGTTGGAGGGCGATGACCGCTGGGCCGAAGCCTTTTGCTGGACCGAAGGCGACGGATGACCCTACCGCCCTTCCGACCCGGATCCAACCCGGATTCCACCGGAAGGGCGGTGGCTCCTCCGTCTTCGTCGCTCAGGATCGACCATGCTGCCACCAAGCCTGGGCAGAGCATTTCGGTCGTGGACGTCCCAGAAACGACGTGGCCTGCACGACGCGCGACGTGAGCGGTTTTGAAACACGAAAAGAGCTCAACCCTTCCAATGATGAATTCAACAAAAATCGAGAATTGTGATGCCCCACCTGAAGAAACATGTGGGGGGGGAAATCCGTAGCCTTCCAAGATCAATGTTCTCTTAAACGGATTGACCTGGTTTTAGTAGTGCAAAAAAAGAACCTGCAGTGTCAAGGGTCCCAAGGGTTCTTTAGTACCCTCAAGACTCAACGGACTCAAGACCTTTCAACATCTGCTTAAGTAACAACAAAAACATCTGCGCTGAGGTCGGCGGCCACCCCGGGATGGGACGTTGGAAGCCAGAGCGGCCGATGGGAGCGGCGGACCGGCAACTGGCCACGAGTCCGGGGACGTATCCCAGGTGAGGAGGTTTGGGTTTCGTCAGTTTTGGTCACGCAAGGCACCAACAACTCCCCACCAGTGACACGTCCCAGTCAAACACGTCCCAGTCAAACACGTCCCAGTCAAACACGTCCCATGACTCAAAGAACTGTCAAAGAATAATATGGAAATTGGGATTGATATATTTAGGGGTCCAGAGATAGCGGCAGTGAAGCAAAACTTGTCTGATCTTTTGTGTTTGGCTTCCTTGGCTGCGGAGCTCTTATGTATGTTCCTTTTCCGAAACCGGCAGTGACACCGGGTGCCAGGTGGATCATGTTCAGTCCGTTGTGGATGGAGCACGAGGGCACGGCTTTGAAGCTGGAGTAGCATGGCGGCAAAAGAAGCCAGGAAGTACCTGGAGACGAGAACCGATAGATGAACCGAAAGAACTATAGACTCCCTGTCATAGATGGAAAAGTAGATCCCCACGTAGAAAATGTGTTGGAAACCATGCCGCTGCCACGGTCATCTATGTAAGGGGACCACTATGTGGCATTGGGTCAAAAACTACAACCGTGCTGGGTGAAGATCTTTGAAGGGACGGATACGTGTGAAAGACACTTGTAGCGTGGACGGCCTACAGCAGAGTGGACACAGAAGCATCCACTCTAAAAATGTCTCAAAGATGTAGAGGGAGATGATCACTGATGACCACTGATGATGAATCTACAAAGACCTTCAAAACAGGTGCATGTGACAGTCATGACTCTTCAAGATGCTGCCCAGGTACAAATACGTGAAGCAAGTGTCTCCCGAGCGCTTCGATTGGGAGCCCGGTCCGAACCGCAGCATTGCCGGAGGGCCCAGGCCGTGCTGTGTTCCACGTTTTTTCCGCATATGGAAAACAAAACCAAAAAAGGACAGGCGAAAACCACCTGTTGGCAGGTCCTGGTGGAGGCATCATGGAGGCCATCGCTAGTAGGTTGGAGGCCATCGCTCTTAGGTCCTGGTGGAGGCATGATTGTTTTACAGGTGTCTTCCCAACCGGAAATGTCCTCATCATTCCATCACGCGCCGTTCCGGGCAGCGTCATTCCGGTCACGCGCCTCGTTCCGTGCGCGCCGTGGCGGGCGCGGTTGGCTCGAGGAACTGCGTCCAGTCCCCGCTGGAAGCGATGTGTGGATCATCCGAGATAGCCAGCCTGGGCGCCCGGCTCGGGCGAAATCAAGCTCCGGTTGGTTGCCATGAATCCGGGTGCCGGGTTTGGTTCAGAGGCAGAGGTGAGTGTTTGCAACGAATTGTATGACTTTTGACCCATCCAAGTTACACTGGGCGAAAACAGAGAAGGATTTGAAAGACAAGGTCAGGTGGTCAAACATGCGAAGAAACCAACCAATCTCCTTTTGCATGAGTGGTTTTGGTGGGTCTCTTCCCATTTCGAGACAGAGATTCGGAGAAACAGGTCTTGGTCTGTGACAGGGTTTAGGGTGAAGTGTTTCAGGGATTTCGATTTTGGGTCATTTGGGTTGCTAATCTGCTAGTGAGTAGTAGCAAATAGCTAGTAGTAGCTAAGGGCGTCGCTGCTAGGAACAAGGGCATCGCTAGCAGCTAGAAGCTAGTAGCAAATACTCAGAGATGTTTCTCCATGACCGGCCTTTCCAAACCAACTCAAACCATGCCTCCACCAATCATCATGAATGATGGGCTTTGGTGACTGTGACTGTGTTGTTTCTTTTCGTTATGTTTTTTCATTGTCTTGCCTTTCTTCATCTCTCATTCACCACACAGACCATACGTCTTCCTCTATCCGCCCCCCTCAGCTCGTCTGGCCGATCTTGGTTTCCCCGCCGAAATCTGCCAACCAGGTGGGGAGGAACCCATTTGACCCCCACGGTGCGGCCACCTGGACCGGGACGTTCGGGACGAGTCCAGATCGATCGGACGCGAACCGAACGGAGCTTTTTCGCGCTGGCAAACTATTGGAATCTCCATATAGTTTTGGGGGGAGAGAAAGGCACAGGGAATGCCCAGGCCTAACGGGTGTAGGTCTCCCCTTCCTGTTGCAAACATTGCAAGTTGAAGGTTCACAATAAAAACCGGGTGTATTTTCTTGAGTTCCTTCTCAAGTGAGGCGGAGTAGATGTCTTTTAATGTTCCCGAGGTCTGAACGGAAGTTCGAGCGGCCGAACTAAGGTCTTGAACTGTTCATTGGCCGAGTTGAACTCCAGCCGCTGCAAGGCCCAGTGATCTTTGGGATGCTCAAGGGATGGTGGGTTGTTTTTCTTCTTATGAACCAGAAGAAGAGAAAGAAGAGTTCGCATCCAATGCGGATCCCACCGAAGAGGTGGTGAAAGCGGCGAGTTCCACGATGGTACATGTGACAGTCATGTGAATGTTCGGTGCTCATAGCTGTGTGTTGTGTCACTGTCACACCAGAAACATGACCTTCAACCCTTGGTCAAAGCGCCGTGTGTGCTGCTCCCAAGCTTGCGGGACATGGTGGCTGTTTCCCTCGGACAACGGAGAAAAGGGGGTCTCTTGTCCTTGTCGGGGTCTCCCTTCAATTCTTCCATCGGAGCAACCTGCCGGCAGGATCCAGGACCGGAACCAAACACCATGCTCTCAACCCAACAGGCCGTTGATCTTGACCAATCCGGCTCATCAAACAGCTCCCTCATCCCCAAATCTTCGACCTTTTCCTCCTCTCCAAAAAGCGCAGCCGACGGGACCTCGCCGCGCGGCACGAAGTTCCCCGCTCCAGGTGGACCCCAACTGGTGCCCGAAGGCTGCGCGCGGTGGACGGGGGTCTTTCGGCGCGTCCGCTTGGCCCAAAAAGTTCGAACTCCAGTCCCAACGAGGAGAAAGAGTTCTTTTTGGAGTTGAAAGGGGAAAAGGAATGAAAACTGGAGAATGGAGAGGCTTGTAGAACCTGACCATCGTCTCGTGGGCACGATCCTCCTCAAGAATCATCCTGCGCGACGTCAGCCGCAGGTGAAGCTTCCCCCGATCCCCAAGCTGCCTCTCAACATGGCGGCCCGGTGACACGTCGCGCCATACGCGGCACGTGTCCAGACCGTAAGACCAAGCGAATTGGGTCACCGGGTCAGCGGGGATGTCGAGTCCAAGTCCGGGTTGCTCTGGGTTGGTGGTGTCTTCCAAAGGCGAAGACATCACGATGTGTTTCACAAAGAAAAATGGAAAACATCTGGCAGCAGCACCCTGCAAGCGTCAGCAGCACCCTTGCTCCAAAGCCCACACTGCCATGGACATCTCGCAGCAAGCACCCTGGAGTGGCACCCTGCAGCACCCAGGCTCCCAAGCGCGCACAGTGCATTTGACCAACTTGAGGGTGAGCACCCCGATAGCCCTCGCTATCCGGGGAAAAAGAAACATGTGGTTGACGTTTGCAGAGATGCTCAAGTGATCGAAATCGTATATTCTTGGAAATCACTTTCGAGTTTTGGCATGACAGTCGGGAATAAGTAACATCTTCATGTTGAACCGGGCGACTTAACTTTGATGCCGCCTATGTTTTTTGGCTGCCCGACAGGGCACTATGTGCATTGACTTGGTGCT